TATTACTTCACTACATTCCTAAAGAAAAGAATGTACTTTTTACTCCACACATTTTCCCTTACACCCAAAATTACTCGTAAAATTTTGAATGCTTAGTAGGACAGGAAAATTGTCTAACTCACACATTTATCAAGAAAACTTCCCTGATTATCCCTACGGCCTCTGGTCTGGCGGACTCACTAAACACACATGCTTCGTTTGTAAATTATGTCTGAGTGTTGGAGTGTGCCCCTGGCTATCCGTAAATTAAAAAAACAAAGAAAATAGTGCCAACTGGTTTGCTTAATACAAGGAATTTGAAATGATTTATACTTTTACTTTTGATAGTATATTTAAAACAAAATAATTTATAATTAATAATATTTCATTTTCTATTAATCTTAACTTTTACTCAAGTATGACAATTGGGTACTTTTTCCACCACTGAACACTGATCACTTGAATAATGTATGCATACTGTTTTATTCACTTTATATGTATATACTGTATTCTAGTCATGGCTCATCCTATATAATTACTGCTGTACACACCTTTTCTATTAATATACTGTCCATATTGTCTATACACACCATTCACATACATATATATATATATATATATATATATATATATATATATATATATATATATATATATATATATATATATATACATTCTGGACTCTGGTCGGAAGCTAATTTCCTGCAATTATATCCATGTTGTTCTGTGTATTTAAATACTGTATTCTTGACATTGTCATATTTTTACTAGAGTACATTACATTTTAGTTACACTGTTATACACACTGCATCATTATTTATATACTGGATTCTTGACATAGCTCACTCTAATATATCTACTGTTGTACAAATAATTCTTAGTATATCTTGTGTAAATTAATCCGGTGTATATATGTATAGATTGCATTTGGATTACTGTTACAGTGCTATTTGGGTTGTTAATCGGATTCGTTTACAATTTGTTGATTTATTTTTAAATTCTTATTTGTGTACTTTTTTGACATTTTACTGCATTGTCAGGAGCTAGTAACGTAATCATTTCGCTGCACCCGCTATAACATCTGCTAAACTGTAGATGTGACCAATAAACTTTTATTTGATTTGATTTGACATTCTCCTGTAATATTCAGCTGTAGTATTGTTCCAAGAAGAACAGGCTGGTTTAAAACCATAGAACTAGAATGAGTGTTGTTTCATTCCAATTATATGTTCCAATTCTATGTACCCAGGGTAGCAGAACATCTCCCTAGAAAATGCCTCACCGGCAGCTATCTGTCATGCTTTTATAGAAAAGACGTCATGCTTCTATGGAAACACCCACAGCCAGGTCACAAGGGTCAAACTTATCCACCATCTGTACTAGTGTTCTTCATGGTTATTACATGGTTCAACATCAAATAATAGTCAACATTGAAATTGGGACAAGTTGTTCTGTACAAATTCCATTTTCAGTTTACGTCGATGTCATGAAAGTCAATGTCATACATGTCAATGTAATGAATCACCTCGTTTTACAGGTGACTCAATATAATTGAATTACCTGTAAAACAATCACGTTATTATAAAGATCAGAGAATGAACCGCTGGTAACGAGTTCAAAACACCAACAAGTCCCTCTTTGAGAACATCTACACATCTGTGCACCACTCCCACTTCCCCACCCGACCTCACCCCACATCCCTGGTTCTCTAGGGCTGGGGAGGAGAAAGGGGAGAGAGAGAGAGAGAGAGAGAGAGAGAGAGAGAGAGAGAGAGAGAGAGAGAGAGAGAGAGAGAGAGAGAGAGAGAGAGAGAGAGAGAGAGAGAGAGAGAGAGAGAGAGAGAGAGAGAGAGAGAGAGAGAGAGAGAGAGAGAGAGAGAGAGAGAGAAAGGGAGCGACAGACAGACAGACAGACAGAGAGACAGAGAGACAGAGAGACAGAGAGGGTTCCCCATCTCCAGCTAGGGACCAGTACCAGCAGGTAAACATCCCCTCTGGCACCCAGCCCCAGGGCTCACTTATAGCCCACTGTTAGTCCTCAGAGTGAAGTCCTTTGATTAGAAGGAAGGGTAAAATCATCAATAAAAAATCATCAATTATGTAACAGATTAACGACTTCCTCGCCCCCACTTCTGTCAGATCTCTCCACCCCCGACCCCCGACCCCCGACCTGACACCTCCGCACACCAGCTTGGCCACCACACACACCTACATCTATTTGTGTATCTAGAAAATACAGGAACAACCAACTATGGCCTGGAGTTCATTATTAAAACATTACACTGTTAACCTTTTGTAATATGCAACGATTGGAACATTTGGATCCCTGCCTGTCCTTTGTTGTACCATGTGTGTAGTCCCTCCTCTTTCTAATCACAGTCCCTAGAGACTGAAGTCATTCATAACTGTTATATCCCCTATGGTGTGTGTGTGTGAGCATGTGTGTGTGTTGTTCACATCTGTTATATTCCCCACAGCCATCATCCCCAGACGCTATGATCTTAAAGTTTATATAAAATATATGGCTTGTACAGATGCGGTATGCTGTGATTCACAAAACATCCATTGAAGTTGAATCTGATTGCCAGAGTAGGCTTTAATTATGAGGCAAACTAGTTGCTGATTTATTTGCCTTCTGCTGTTAAACACTGCTTTGAGTTGTGTTCAAGTGTTGGTAAGAGATTGCGTTTTCATTTTTGAAAAACAAAGCGATAAAAATGTTTTATTTTAGTAAAATATTACACTTGCATATGAAGTTAACACCAAACTATCAAAATTCATTGTGGTTTTGACATTGCCCAGAAAACAAATGCTTCAACAAATTACTGATACTATGCTTCACACACTTCAATCAATATTCTTCTTCCTTGTGAGGAAAGGAATCATATCCTTTGGGTCTAATGTCATGCTTGAGGAAAGTTGCAGAATTGACATTTGTTGGCAATGGCTGTCAGAAGTGTTTAAGTTGAAATTTAGCAGCAGAGAAAGCAATTTAAAAATATGTTTTGAAACACACACACACAAACACACACACACACACACAGACTGACTGCCAATCACTTTGGCATCTTTAGCCGATGGAATTGTGATGAAACAATTTCAAATGTCTTCTTCTTCTCTCTCTCTAGGCTGTGGACAACATGGTCTCCACAAATGGACACGGACACACATACACTTATTTGAGTCATGGACTTCTTTCCATTTACTTATTTTATGGCTGTAGCAATCAACTCATGAGTCATGACAGACTCATTCCCATTACGTTGCTGGGTTCAATTAGGTCAAACCTGCATATAAATCAGAAAATTTACTCTGAATTTCTATTCCCTCACACCGTAAACAAATGTACTAAAATTGGCCTCAAAGCAATTATGGTGGACATGCATTTACATTTGAATTTAGGATTCATTTGATGTTTTCCTTTTTGAAGGGAGGAGAGAATTTCAATTTCCCTATGTATTATTTGAGTATAAAAAAGTGGCAGTATGTTTATCTGATTAATATAGTTTATTCACATTCATACTTCTTTACTTAGATCCATCACTCATCAGAAAACATAGGCCACCGATGACTCCTCTCTCTCTCCTCCCTAATCAACTCTGCATGTTGGCAGCAGCTCAATTTGCTCTCTCCAAGACATCCATCCATGTAGTCTCATGGTGCTGTGGCAGCTCCTATCTCTATCTTCTAATGACTTCCTAGATGGATTGTCAATGACCATTACAATTAAGCAATCAAGAGGACAGGGCACCATGAGGAGAGGAACTATTTAGCCGTGAACTAGGGCAGAGCAAATGTGTTCAAGTCAGTCAAAGAGAGAGATAGTGAGCAATGCTGTTCTATGTGGTACTGTCTTTCAAACTCATATTTTGGCACCAACCTGTTGAAAAATGAAACCGTTGGGCCTAAATATGAATCAAATCCAAGTGATGGATAGGCCTACAGTCCTTAACACAACCGTCTGAAAATAAGAAAACCAACTGAAACCATAAGACCAGCATCCATTGAACTTCACAAGCCTACCAATCAGATTTGTGTCATGTAGCCTATCAAATAATAGGACCATGGAACGTTTGGGGACACTGAATGGCTCATGGTGTTCTTTTTTCGGATGACAGCTAGGCGCCATGGGCTCCATTTTAACATCCTGATCATCATCATCATCAGTGGTATGACTATGAAGATACACGAGAATGTGATATAAGACGTCGAGACCCCACCTACGTTTCTGCAGCTGATTGGACTCGCGCAGATGCACAGCTATGATTTAATAAACAGAGAGGTGGACACATCACTCTGTCCTCGCGGATCTCGTCGCTGCACTGCAGGAGCTATCCATATCCTCTTTTTGCTCTCACCACTACGCATCCATACCCCGGCGCAAGCACGGTCTTCTCCAACTGTCTCTAACAGAATATTCCAATTCGAATATTACCACGTTGGAAAACAGGTAAATACGTTTTTTGTTGTTGATAAATGTGAACCGTAATTGTTTTGTTATAGAGCCTATTTCAAGTTATTCCGAATGTATTTGCCCATCAATTGGATGGCGGGCGTATTGCAGGGACATTTGGAGACGAACGAACCAACTTTGTCTGCAAGCTAAAAAACAAAAAAATGACTTTTTCTATAGGCCTATAGCCTACATGATAGCCTAATTGTTGTAGCCTATTCGGAAAACATATTTACAAAGCAAATGACTGTCAATGTTTAGTAATATAGCCTTTCATTTCACAATAAATGGCAAACATTCCGTGTGCATTACGCACCATTTAAAACCAGTTATCACTACATTTAAAAAGAGCAACGAATGTTTAGGCCTACTGTTGCAGTCTATTATTCATTGTGGATTTTAAATGTGTCAAGTCAGTTTTAAATGTGGTGCGCGTTTGCTGGTTTCAGCTAAGCTCTATTGAAGCATTTTGCAGTTTGGAAGTAATTTATTGTAATGAGTCTCTAAATTTTGATATTATTGTCAACCCAACATCACAGCTTGTCTAGGCTACAGGTGGTGTTAAGAAGATGAAACACGGATTGTTGCTGGTGGGTCTGTTCCTCGCCATGAAACTCTGCTCAAGCCAGTCCAGCTGTGAGGAGCCTTCTGCTGGGATGCACAGATCAACCGCAGACTCAGCGGTAAGGAAGTTTCTCATCCAACCGTATCTATTTAACCCTCATATGGTAACGCGTAAAAATACGCATTTTTATCTAGGTATATAATGGTTTAAAACATAATTGTGAATTCAAATCAAATGACCGTAGGGATCGGATCCAATTAAAGCCGCATCTGCAGAAAGATAACCTTGTTCATGTGCCATCACGGTTTTATTTTTTTAGGACTGATTTCATGCCTAGAAATGGAAGAAAACGATGCTTTGTCTTTACAGGATACTCCAGGTCTTGAAAACCTCAAGCGGACCATTCTGAAGAGATATAACGACCTGGATTATGACAGTTTCGTTGGGTTGATGGGGAGAAGGGGCGCTGGTAAGCTTCAGCTCTGTCGCTGCATCCTATGATCAATCATCAAAGTTAAGACCCTCAGCAGACAACAGTTGTCAATGAGTAATCTCAGTGCTTGACTTGGACTGAAATATTGGGTGCGGTTACTGTTTATATTTAAGTGCAAAATCGCCACTATACTTTTGAGCTAATATTCTATAAGAGGAACAGGAGCTCAAGCAGTAGAAAATTGGAGGTACAAGTACTCAGCTCTGGTGAGCTACTGCCCAAGTCAAGCACTGAGTAATCTTTGATAATGGATAGAGGGGGTTATACTGATACTGTATCACTGAGACTTCTCTGTTTTGATTAAATTGACAATGTGCACTAGTCTTTATTTACTCAAACATTTTCAATGCTGAAGCAGGAGTTCACTGCAGGGAATACACATTCTTCACAGCACTACTTAACTTTTTATTGGGTTTTATGAATTTTTGACAATTGACTTGCTTTTTCACAGATATTTATGATCTACCACCCTCTCCACATAAAAGTAAGGAATAACCATTGATTTACTGTTTGTTTTACGTATCAATAGAAATGTTATTAACTTTTAATTGAACAATAATGACAAATGTAATTTCATATACTGCGAACACCGGCATTTGATAATGATTTAACCGTTTTTGTCACAGGAGAGATGGATGATGTCTTTGTTGGGCTTATGGGCAGAAGGAACTTGGAACAGGGTGAGTGTGGGTGGGTGGGCAAGCGTGCATGATAATCTAATCGAACCTAATGGTCCTCTGCAGCTCAGCTTGTGTGGCTCAGTTGGTAAGAGTGTGGTACTAGCAATAAACACCAAGGTCATGGGCTCATTCCCACAGGGATAATATTTTAAGTTGCTTTGGATAAAAGCATCTGCATACATGATCATACCCCTTTCCTGCAGTCAAAATACCACATCACCTTCTAGTGGACTCATGGGTGGAATGTTATTAATATTTTTCACAATTTCATAATTAATACACTTTTTTTTTTTACGTAGAAAATCCGGTGTTTCTGTGTCAAGCGGTTTTGTTATATTTCAGTCTTCTATGATGTATATAAAGGGTAATATTGGGATGCAAACTCAAAATTGAATACATTTCAACTCTATATCTGACATGGTACAGGTGTCTTCTTTTTTAAGCCCATGACCATGTGTGTGAGGTGTATACTGTTGTTTCAAAGTAGATTTGTTTAAGACTACCAAGAAACACTCTGTGTGACCCTGATTTAGCCCACTGCAGTAAAAGGTTAATTAATCTCCATAATAATCCAATGTGCAGTGGAGGTAATGCATTTTTTCAGCTCAGTGACTCAGTGTGTGTTCTTTCTAACAGGTATCATACGTCCTTTGAGAAAGGAGGCGTACCCTGAGACAAGAAGAGGAGGCTTATTCTTTAACAAGTGCAGGCTGAGGTGTGTTTGTGGTGCGCGTGTGTGTGTGTGTGAGGCATCTTCTCTCCCTTATCACTTAGTAGATTGCATGCATTTTATGCTACTCAGGTTTCCATGTATGTCTTAAATACACTAAATGTAGCAGCATTAGCTCAGCTCTCTACATAGTACGCTCTTAGAAAAAAGGTGCTTTCTAAAACTTTATAGGGTTCTTCAGCTGTCCCAATAGGAGAAACCTTTGAATAACCCTTTTTGGTTCCAGGTACAGTAGAACTCTTTTTGGTCCAGGTAGAACCCTATTGGGTTCAACGTAGAACCCATTCTACAGAAGGTTCTACGTGGAACCCAAAAGGGTTCTCCTATGGGGACAGCAGAAGAACCCTTTTGGAACCCTTTTTTCTAAGAGTGTAGAATACATTGAATAACAATAAGTTATCAAGTGCTTCATATTTTCTCATGTTCTGCATTGCATTAAACAATACTAGAAGATCTATATGCTTTAAAACACATTTATAAAACTTTTGTGATTATAAATGTTACTGTTTTGATCCAGGTTTCGTCGTGGGTTATAGACAAGACATTCATCCAGACCCGTCCCTAACATCCAGCCAAGGCAAAACCCCTTTTCAGAAGATTGGAGTTATTATTATTATTATACAATACAGAAGAGAAAATAATTATTTTACAAAACAAAGTATTGCGAAAACATCTATGGAATTTAAACTGACCAAAATCAACCTTCTACTGTAACATGTGCCCGATGGGTTATCATAGTAACTAATAACTATAATGTTTGTATATAACTTTATCTGACAGGAATCAGCAACAGTCCAATCTGATAAGATCTATTTCTTTACCATATGTTTGTGATTCAAATTAAATATATAATAAAATGTGGCAATCATATTTCAACAACACTGACAATTAAGAGAAAAATATTTGGTTACAACATTTTAAATCCACCATCATAGCAATGACAAAGATGCTGTCATCCGGCACTTTGAATATGTAAGCACAACTAAAATTAACCATATGTAGTACTGTGCAAAAAATATTTTAGTACTGTATTTAAGTTTAATCTACCCCACTTTAAGGCAATTCAACTGTCAGCTGGTTATCTAGAATATAGGGGATAATAACATCATATGGGTATTATTATTATATAGTATTATATTTGACATGAAATACCCCCCAGCTACACCACAGAGCAATGTAATACCATTCAAACATTTGCACAACAATTTTCTCTATCAGCTTGACCTGATGCTGAAAACATCAGATTCTGCTGAAAATTCGACACATTTAAGAAACTACCATTGTTCAGTGCACGCATATAAAGGTCCCTTCATATCTCTCTATAAGTGAAATAACAATATAGAATTGAATAGTTGTGGACGGTCAATAAGGGAATCGAATACGGGAGCACTGTTAGTTGTGACAATTATGATTTGCCAAATCAACTGTAAGACACAGAAATGCTTGATACCATGTTATCAGAAATGTCCAGGTCAGAATCTTTGAATGCAGCTTGGGCTACATGAAGTAAGTGATCTAGAAGTGTTTACAGATATATGGTCATTAACGGCATACTATTTGAATTCAAACAGAATATCAGATAAAACAGCAACAGATATCGATAAAAACAGTTAAGACTTTCAAGTAAAAAGTTGTACAGTATATGGATTTGAAAATGCTTAATAAATCACCTATAATCATTCAAACCTGAACTGTGGTTGAACTGGTGCACAATGTGGGTCATATCGAACCTGTTCCTGGCACTCCCATTACCACCTTAAAAACACATTCAAACACTTAAATCAAACAGTCCCATTGACATCAATGCATGACCAAGTTAAAATTCCACTTAAGTGGAAGTTAGGTTTCGGGCCCAGAGAGAATCACTGCTGACTCTCCTGTGTGACTGCAGTCCTGTTATTGTCCATGGGGATTTTACCTCCCCTCGGAGCCCCTTTATATGACACTGCCTCCATTTTGGACTGGTTTCCACCACCAACAACAATGATACCAGCTGGGATTGTCCCTCTACCAGCTGTCCCCACAGTGGCCCTTTCTGTCTGGGCCAGCCGCTCCACCAGGCCCTGGGGTAGTGGAGGTCTGTAGCGGTGTCTGTAGCCGTAGGCACGGAGGTGGTAGGTCCAGTACTCCAGTGTGTACATCAGCTCTGCATCCACATAGTGGAAGGATACTGCCAGGTCTGAGCAGCACTGGGGACCCTGGAGGAAAATAGCAAACCAAGCATTATATAAAACTTGCTATATGGCCTTCCACTGTATCTTTTGACAGAATCCCACACTTAAAACATACAGTGGCTTGCGAAAGTATTTACCCCCCTTGGCATTTTTCCTATGTTGTTGCCTTACAACCTGTAATTTGACTACACCATTCCAAGACATTTAAATGTTTCCCCTTAAACCACTCGAGTGCTGCTTTAGCAGTATGCTTAGGGTCATTGTCCTGCTGGAAGGTGAACCTCCATCCCAATCTCAAATCTCTGGAAGACTGAAACAGGTTTCCCTCAAGAATTTCCCCATATTTAGCGCCATCCATCATTCCTTCAATTCTGACCAGTTTCCCAGTCTCTGCCAATGAAAAACATCCCCACAGCATGATGCTGCCACCACCATGCTTCACTGTGGGGATGGTGTTCTCGGGGTGATGAAAGGTGTTGGGTTTGCGCCAGACATAGCATTTTCCTTGATAGCCAAAAAGCTCAATTTTAGTCTCATCTGACCAGAGTACCTTCTTCCATATGTTTGGGGAGTCTCCCACATACCTTTTGGCGAACACCAAACGTGTTTGCTTATTTTTTTCTTTAAGCAATGGCTTTTTTCTGGCCACTCTTCCATAAAGCCCAGCTCTGTGGAGTGTACAGCTTAAAGTGGTCCTATGGACAGATACTCCAATCTCCGCTGTGGAGCTTTTCAGCTCCTTCAGCGTTATCTTTGGTCTCTTTGTTGCCTCTCTGATTAATGCCCTCCTTGCCTGGTCTGTGAGTTTTGGTGGGCGGCCCTCTCTTGGCAGGTTTGTTGTGGTGCCATATTCTTTCAATTTTTTAATAATGGATATAATGGTGCTCCGTGGGATGTTCAAAGTTTCTGATATTTTTTTATAACCCAACCCTGATCCTTGGTCTTTGGTCTTCATAACCCAACCCAGCTCCTTGGTCTTCATGGTGCCGCTTGCTTGGTAGTGCCCCTTGCTTAGTGGTGTTGCAGACTCTGGGGCCTTTCAGAACAGGTGTATATATACTGAGATCATGTGACAGATCATGTGACACTTAGATTGCACACATGTGGACTTTATTTAACTAATTATGTGACTTGTGAAGGTAATTGGTTGCACCAGATCTTATTTAGGGGCTTCATAGCAAAGGGGGTGAATACATATGCACACACCACTTTTCTGTTATCAATTTTTTTGACTTTTTTTAAACAAGTTATTTTTTGGACTATTTTGTGTATGTCCATTACAAGAAATCCAAATAAAAGTCCATTTAAATTACAGGTTGTAATGCAACAAAATAGGAAAAATGCCAAGGGGGTTTAATACTTTTGCAAGGCAATGTAAACCTGTGACATATGCAAACACGTACACACACACGCACACGCACGTACACGCACACACACACATACACACACACCTAGCAATACAGCTCAGAACACACATTTAGGCCTACTCCTCTGTAGCATACATCAGCTAGCTTATACATCTGTTTAAAACTGACTAGTGGGGTGTTCACTGTCTATTTCACATGCCTGCAAGTATCTTAGACAGGGAAAACCTAATAACACATTTCTGACAGTCATTGTTAAGCAGAGGAGACACTGGCTGGAATAACTTGTTTACCCCTAGAGTGTTGTCATGTGCCTTGGTGGTCCTTGTCTGATAGACTCGTAATAAACTTGTCTCGTTTGCATTGCAAAGCACAATGAATCAGCGCTATTATCTGTAATAAATTGGCAATTTTCCTATTGTCGACAGGGCATTGTCTCCACTGCAATCATCCACTTTAGCATCAATGTAATTTCTTTCTTTCTATGAGGGCTATAGAAGGACAGACATCTAACGTTGTCATTTTCACTGTGATATATCCTTTACATAACATGTAGCCTATATTCAGGCTGTTCCATATATTGCACCTAGTTACAGGGAGGGTTTGTGTAAGACAGTGATGCCCTGGTCAAAAAATGCCCTACCTACACCCTTTAATAGACAAAAAACCCATGAGCCGCAAATATCCAATTGGTGCACAATAGTGTACAGATGGCCATTAATTGAATTAAAGGATTTTAAGAGGAAACAAGTTCAAGCTCTTGGAAAACTGTCTTCCTGACCCAGTTTGACCACCATTCAATGGAAATCCTTTATCTGGGTTCATCTTAAACAGCCTTACACTAATAAGATAGTGAGGTACTACAGAGAGGTAAGATAGAGACTAGAAAGATAGAAAGCGAGAGAGAAAAAGAGAGAGACAGCGACAGAGAGAGAGAGAGAGAGAGAGAGAGAGAGAGAGAGAGAGAGAGAGAGAGAGAGAGAGAGAGAGAGAGAGAGAGAGAGAGAGAAGAGAGAGAGGAGATAGAGAAGAGAGAGAGATAGCGAGGGAGAGAGAAGAGAGAGAGAGAGAGAGAGAGACTAAGAGCAAGGTGAGCTCTGGCTTGTATCTTAAAAATCTGTGAAAGTGAAAGCCAACAAGTAACGACAACAAGAGAATGAGAGAGAGCTCAGCAGTGACTGACCTCTACGATGGGGAGTAGCATCAGTGACTGGAGACGTTGTGCTCTACGATGGAGGTACGCTGCAAGAGTGGGAAGTCTCCAGTACCAGTAAGTCTTGGTCCAGAACTCGAGAACTTCCCAGTCAGGTGGTGCTCTGGCACGAATGGATGAAACGTCTCACGCTGCAACGTATCCCTCGAGTCCATCGCCAGAACCCCCATCTTCTCCAGACACTGTCCCAGAGCCAAGTCTTCCACAGAGGTGGTATGGGTACACACCTTGGTTTTGAACCCCTCCACGAACCTCCTAAGGGCCTCCTTACTCAACACATACCCCGCTCCGCCACTCATGTAACCCTGCTTGGCGTAGGGCTTGAAGCGCTTGCCAAAGTAGAGGGGTTCCTCGGGCGTGTGATTGGACAGTACCCAGCGGAGGTTGTCCACCACTACGAAGGTGTCGTCATCTGCCTTGAGGAACCAGTCGGCATCGTTCCCATGATGCTCCAGGGCATAGTGGAAGGCCCGGATGGTCTTCCAGTAGAGCTGGTCACGGCCCTCCCCTGTCCCCAGCCCTACGGTGGGGAAGTCTGAAGAAGAAGAAGAAGAAGAAGAAGAAGAAGAAGAAGAAGAAGAAGAAGAAGAAGAAGAAGAAGAAGAAGAAGAATGATTTATTGTCCATTTTCCTACTGTTCACAGACATGTAGCTTTTTAATGCAACCTCCCCCAGCGTCAGTCAGGCACAAAGCACAGAGCCAGCCATTGTGCATCACAGCAGTTAGGGTTATGGGCCTTGCTCAAGGAAAACAAGGCACAAGATAGCATCTACATAGGATACTTCCGACCAGATGTTTCCCGTCGGTCATGGGATTCAAACCGGCCTGCCTCAATACCCTCTAGGCTTCCTGGCTGGGTACTTACCTGGGTCGTCGACAGAGCTCATGAAGACCACCACGTTGCAGTGGCGGCTCCAGGTGGCCTTGACATGGCGGGCCTTTGTCTGCAGGTTACTGGGGCCTGTCATCACCCAGCACAGGATGCGCACCTTCTGGTACAACTCGTCTGCCACGCGACTGTCCTCACCTGAAAACCATAGCCACATTACAAACAACTTTAAAGCTGAAATCCTTAAAGCGGCAATCAGCAATAGAAACAATAACAAAGTGCTGTCCCCACCCCTGTTTCGGTAAAAAGCTAAGGGTAAAGCTAAGCTAATTCATAGACAGAGCTATGGATGCAAGGAACATCCATGACATCAAAATTCTAGTTTTAACCATGTTTTGAGGCTATATAATCTTTTTTACATTTACTTTGTTTACAAACATTTGAGCTTAAATGTTGGGTTATTATGGGGTATGACAGTTGAAATAAGCTCATAAGGCATTATAAGTTATATTCTACAAGGATCAATGGGTACGCTCCACAAGCTACCTGAATGTTTTGGACAGAGCCTATTTTCATAATTAGGTGTCTTAATAATTGTGGCAGCCAAGAGGTTCATTTTCGATATTAAAATACAAAATGTTCACAACACACATCTTTCATACTTCCACACAGATTTATGAGATCTTCAGAGGCACTCAATTTCCTTTCACTGGAATGGTTCCTGGTCTTAGTGGGACTGTCTACCTGTGTGGTGTGGGTGGTTGAGATTGATGAGGGCTGCTCCCTCCACACTCCAGTTGTCACTGTCACTGGCCTGCTTCTCCTCTGCCACAGCTGCTACTGAGCTGCCCTGGATCCCTCCCAGCACAGGGAGTTCCATGCTCCTCTCGAACCATACCTGTTTGTCCACAAACAAATATGACGTGGTTCAAGTTCAAATAAGTTTACTGACTGATAACATCATGACACCATATCAGCAGTGGAGGCTGCTGAGGGGAGGACGGCTCATAATAATGGCTGGAATGGAGTCAATGGAATGGCATCAACCATCAAACATGTGTTTGATATAATTCCATTGACTCCATTGCAGCCATTATTATGAGCCATCCTCCCCTCAGCAGCCTCCACTGCATAGCAGGCATCAAACATCAACACAGTCAACAGTAACAACAGATGTACTGCGTAGGTGCAGGGAGCGAGTACCGTAATTACAGGTGTATACAGCTATCTGAATAATAATTACAGAAGTATATTATTATATTATATAGCTACCTGAATAGTTATTATAGGTGTTTAAGGCCACTAGATTATAGACATGTAACACACCTGGCGCAGGAAGAGGTACAGGCTGAGGGTCCCCACTACGAAACCCACGTAGAAGCAGAACCTGGAGCCACTCAGACCTTTCATGGTGATCTCTTCCTCCTCCTCCTCCTCCTCTTCCTCCTTCACCTCTGTGGTAGTTCCTGGTCCACTCCAATCACAGCATCTCTTTCTGAGAATGAAAGACAACATCATTGAAAAGGCAGAAACATTTGCCGACCATTTACTTCACCTATTGTTTTCTTCAGGCTCAAAATATTCAGAACATAGCTGATCCTAATCTCTATTTATCTTGCATGGAGCATAGTTCTGTCCAACTGTCTGTGTAATATACACACTGAAGGCCAAGTCGGGGGCCTTGCTCTATTTCCTTTTATTTTATTTAACTCTTATTTTCCCAGGTAAGTTGACTGAGAACACATTCCCATTTACAGTAACGACCAGGGGAATAGTTACAGGGGAGAGGAGGGATGAATGAGCCAATTGGAAGGTGGCCATGATGGTATGAGGGACAGATTGGAAATGTAGCCAGGACACTCGGGTTAACACCCCTACTCTTAGTGACCACAGAGAATCAGGACACCCATTTAATGTCCCATCCGAAAGAAAGCACCCGTCACAGGACAATGTCCCCAATCACTGGCCTGGGGCATTGGGATCTTTTTTTTTTTTAACCAGAGGATCTCTACGGATCAATAAAAAAATGTTGGGGGGGGGGGGGCGGGGGGAGAACTCAGTCGGGGTTTCAACTTACTGACTTACTGTTGAGAGTTACAATAGTAGAATACACAAGGTGCAACCTTTTTGAGATTGGTCAATTAGTCTAGTGGGCAGTTATCTAAATTTGTACCAAACGTGGTCGAATTACCAACCGGGGGCCAATTGATTTTGTTAGTGACTCTCATGTGTGTATACTGACCCTCCAGCCACTGCAGCCTCCCATGATGAGTTCAGATTTTTTGTGGCATCCACCCCCATCAAAGTTGCCCATCTCTGTCCTAGTGAGTTAAGTATATCCTCTTGTTGTATAAATTACTTTTAGAAACTACAAGAGTGAAACAGCAAACAGGAGTTGTCAATTTGCTAGAATCCAGTCCATTGAGCTACAACAGAATTTCAGAGGTGAAATTTAGAAAGACATTTCAGAAGTGCAATGGAACTACAGAGACAGATAAACAAACTCACTTTAGCACATATTGAGGTTAGAGACCTCTAATCGTGGACCGGGAAGTTAATCATTTACACTAAGTAGGCCAAGCTTATCCCCTTAACAGACAGACTAGGCTACACTGTACCCCATCTGCTGCCTGCCTGCCTTAAGAGCCAACTGGACTGAAAAGCATGTCTAACACAATGACAACACAATAATAACACTGGAGTAACATTGTATACAGTTTAGAGCTATCATCATTTAGCCACTATCTTCTATCTATTGTTGGTGGTGGGTGAGAGTTATAACATAAGCAGAGTTAAGATTCATTGCAGGATTCCTATTCTTCTGAATTTATATTCTTCAGAAATTAAATACAATTATTTTCATAACATTGCCATATGGATTTTACAACAGTAGCCTAATGGTTGATCTAATTCAGTCTTGAATGAAGATTCATTGATACAATGTTATAGAGACCATCATGACAACATAAGGGTGAAGCTTATTACCGCTATGATCTTATCACCGTCAATCATTTGGATAAAGCAATAGCTTTCCAGCAGACAAAGACATTAAATCTGTTTATCATCAGTTATTGTGTCCCAAAATATCATCATTACCTGTGTTTGTTGATCAGAGTCGCTTTTAGCCAGCGTGAAAAGACGGAAAACCGCTACTTTGAGTGCATCCTAGCCTACAATAAATCCCAACACCCTATTGTTGTACATCCATTTCGAGACTAAACGACGGCATATAATATTACACCATCAACAGAAAGAGTGGGTCAGTCCTGTATTGAAGCTTGTAAAGGCCTCCATCTATTCAATCGCTCAGAAAATAAACGACAACATGAGTAACGTTACTGTACAATCCACATTCTTCAGCATCACGGGGTAATCTCTGTAACCGCAGCATTTGATTTGTTGAAATTGTATTGCGTGTGGCCTCCTTGTGGTTGAGAGGATCAGCCTGCGCGAGACGCTACACAGAATTACAGGATTTTTGAAGCCAAGGTAAAGATTACTTTTAAAAAGTGTAGGTTATTTCGCAATGCTTATTATTTGTAGGTCAGTGAATCTGCGCATCACCTTGTTCAAGCCTACTCTTGAAGTGAAGATAATGGGCGCGTTCAAGCAAATCACTTTTATCAAGAATCACTTTTGTCAAGAAGTTCACAATTGTAGGTCACCGCCTTTCAGATTGTGTTGCATTATGGGGATAAACATTGTCCGACTTGCGACTACATGTCAACTACATGAACTTTACAAAAATAATGTGATCAAAGGTCATGATGTTTTTGATGAAGTCGCCTTCAAGTCGCTGCAGTTGCACCTCCCTCGACTTCACTCGCCGATGTTCATCGACAGTCCATTGTGTGCGTTCCAGATAGGACTACTGACTACACGGATGTAACCAGGATGCAGGATGCAATTGAAAAATGCTTTGTTAGAAATGTGTTGATTCCACCAAAGTCTGACAGTTACAATTGTGCAAATACTACCAGGCTGAAATGTAATTAGAAGTTCTGAGTAGGCTATACAGTCTTAGTTACAACTGCAGACACCATAGGCCAATTTACACAAATGTAAAGTACTACCACAAGATCAGAAATTAACATTTTTTTAAACTGAAAGACCATCCCCAGAGTTTACCCATGATGTTGCACAATGATTGAAGTCAATAAGTCATAATTTTAGTCAAAGTATGATATATTTGGGCTTGAAGTGGGAAATCCGAAGTGGGGACTAGAGGTATTTTTCAATTATGGCGTTGTTTATTAATCAGAATCAGCTTCTTCCTCTTCGGGAGTCGCGACTCAGCCAAACAGCTTTTGCCTTAGCCTACATTTTCACTTATTTTTTAGCTAGTCTGTATAAAAAATATATATACAGGTACTGTGTGTAGGCACGTTTCTATATGGAATGTTCTACGCATTTTCAACGTATACATAATTCTGATGATTATGTTGAAATTAGATATACGTAAGTCAATGTATTTAAGTTTAAGTTTTACCCTAATTTTAATGGTTGAAATGATGTAAAAACAATACTGGTTGATGACTTTTTTCAAATCCAATATATTTTGGACATTGATTACACGTCAAAATACGTTGACAAATTACATTGAAACAATGTTGATTCAACCAGTGTGTGCCCAGTGGAAGTCACTTGCCGAAAATGTTGAATAAAACATTAAAATAATCACCTAATCAGCCTCAATCAGCCTCCCGAGTGGCGCAGCGGTCTAAGGCACTCCATCGCAGTGTTGCGGCATCACTACAGCCTGGGGTTCAATCCCAGGCTGTGTCATTACCGGCCGTGACCGGGAGTCCCATAGGGTGGCACACAATTGGCCCAGCCAGGGGGACTTTACTTGGCTCATCGCGCTCTAGTGACTCTTTGTGGCGGGCTGGGCGCCTACAGGCTGACGTCAGTTGAATGGTGTTTCCTCCGACACATTGGTGCAGCTGGATTCCGGGTTTTGCGAGCGGGTATTAAGAAGCGCGGTTTGGCGGGTCATGTTTCGGAGGACGCATGACTCGACCTTCGCCTCTCCGGAGCCCGTTGGAGACTTGCAGCAATGAGACAAGATAGTAATCACGAAATTGGGGTAAAAATTCAAAATATAAAATAATCACCTAATCTCATTCCCACACACAATTCTGCCCAAATGTGTCTGGTGGGCCAACGCGTCAAACTTGGCCATCTTTAGCCAAACCAGAAGAAACTCCGGGTGCATAGGCATTGGCTTAATCTACCAACCAATCATCTCCCACAACATCTTCCCCCTAACCCTCCCCACGCCTCGCAGTTGTGTGATTTCTCAAATTACTTACTTACATAAGTATTCAGACCTTTTGCTATAAGACTCAAAATTGAGCTCAGGTGCATCCTGTTTCCATTGATCATCCTTGAGATGTTTCTACAACTTGATTAGAGTCCACCTGTTGTAAATTCAACTGATTGGACATGATTTGAAAAGGCACACACCTGTCTATGTAAGGTCCCACAGTTGACAGTGCATGTCAGAGCAAAAACCAAGCCATGAGGTCGAAGGAATTGTCCGTAGAGCTCCGAGACAGGATTGTGTCGAGGCACAGATCTGGGGAAGGGTACCTAAACATTTCTGCAGCGCAGTGGCCTCCATCATTCTTAAATGGAAGAAGTTTGAAACCACCAAGGCTCTTCCTAGAGCTGGCTCCCCGGCCAAACTGAGCAATCGGGGGAGAAGGGCCTTGGTCAGGGAGGTGACCAAGAACCCGATGGTCACTCTGACAGAGTCCCAGAGTTTCTCTGTGGAGATGGGAGAACCTTCCAGAAGGACAACCATCTCTGCAGCACTCAACCAATCAGGCCTTATGTTAGAGTGGCCAGACGGAAGCCACTCCTCAGTAAAAGGCACATGACAGCCCGCTTGGAGTTTGCCAAAAGGCACCTAAAGGACTCTCAGACCATGAGAAACAAGATTCTCTGGTCTGATGAAACCAAGATTGAACTCTTTGGCCTGAATGCCAAGCGTCACGTCTGGAGGAAACCTGTGGAAAAAGTGAAGGGGTCTGAACACTTTCCGAATGCACTGTATGCTGAAAACTCAGAAATGCATCAGAAATCGTCCTTATTTCCAGCATATCAAAAAGCATATCAACATCCGGATATGGACCTCAGCCAAGCCTTCTGGGAAGGCTTTCCACTAGATGTTGAAACATTGCTGCAGGGACTTGCTTCCATTCAACCACAAGAGCATTTTTGAGGTTGGGCACTGATGTTGGGCGATTAGGTCTGGCTCGCAGTCGGCGTTCCAATTCATCCCAAAGGTGTTCAATGGGGTTGAGGTCAGGACTTTGTGCAGGCCAGTCAAGTTCTTCCACACCGATCTCCACAAACCATTTCTATATGGACCTCGCTTTGTGCACGGGGGCATTGTCATGCTGAAACAGGAAAGGGCCTTCCCCAAACTGTTGCCACAAAGTTGGAAGCTCAGAATCGTCTAGAATGTCATTGTATGCTGTAGCATTAAGATTTCCCTTCACTGGAACTAAGGG